ACTCCATACATGTATTTTTGTGTGTGTAAGATATAGGGTTGTCCTTTGTGTGCAAGAGGATAAGACAAAAATTAATCTTGTAGAGCAAGATTCATTTGATTGCCGACACTGATTCAACTCTAGAGTTTCTTTAGTGTTTGCTGAGTCTTGGTTAGATTTCACACTTTGATTTAGACACGCTTGTTAACATTGAATCCGCTTCAGATCACGAGTTGTTGTCTCTATCTTCAGCTACATTTTCGACATTGTTCAAGGTTTCTTTGGTGTGAGTTTTGTCTTTTGAAGAATACTTGTCCTTTAGAGAAGTATACAATACATGTTCAGCGATCATTGGATTGACTCAGAGATGTCGTTGAAACTGAACATAAATAAAATGAAGTATTTTTAACTAAGTATAAAGGGTCATCATCAAATTGCTAGGGGAGTTTGAATCAATAGATTAGGATTCTCCTAATCATCATGAGGGGGAGAAATAGTATCAAAGACATATCAAATAAGAGAAAAGAAAATATTATCAAAGATATTGTAACATGTGCTGATGTTTAAAGGGAGCTAACAAAAGATCATATATGTAGGTGAAGTTAAATTTAAAGTGGTTCAGTTGAAGAGAAGATTTGTATCTAAGGTTGAAAAGTCACTGGATTTAAAAATTGTAGATGTGATGAAAATTTTGATGCTGATTTGAAGAATTTGGTGCTGATTTACTGACTTGTGTTGACTTATCTATGAGAGATTCTTTGGATGATTGAATCAGAGTTGTTTGAAGAAAGTTTTGACAAGAATGAATTCTTTCATGATATAATGGTAATGAGCTTAGTACACATAGTGTCAAAGCTTAAAGCCTAAATGTCTAAAGCTTATTTGTTGACTGAAAAGGATTTGTTGAAGATTTGCTGACTGTTAAAGATTGAAAACGATTCTAAAGTATCTGAAGACTTTGAAGATTGTTTCCAAATGAAGATTTTGATCTGAAGAATATATCTGTTAAAAAGTGGAGATTATTATTTTCCAGATTTTCGTTTTTCGAAGGTTAACAAAGTCTAATCATCTTCAAACGGAGGAGATTGTTAGAGTGTTGATATTTGCTCAGTTGTAATCTCGAATACTTAGGAGGAGATCGTTAGGTCAAGAATATTGTATCCGAGATCACTGAGCATTGAAGACTGAAGGGTCAAAGATGAAAGACATGGTCAAAGAGAGTCAAAGTTGTTTACAATTGTGAACTATCAACATTATAATTAGAGCTTAATTTAAGTTTACTTTCTTGTTGTAGTCAATTGTTGAGTTAAAAATGTTGTATTCAAGTCCCGTGCTTAAAATATTTTACATTGCTTTCTAGTTTAGCCTTATTGTTTTCTAGACTAGTTTATTGCTTTCCAAGAAGGGGTATAAATAGGTACCCTTGGTAGTTTGGTTAGTTACCAGCTTGTGAAACTTTGTGAGATATATGCTTTGAGAGATATCCTATATCATTCTGTAATCTTGTGAGAGACATCATTCAAGAACACCTTGTAATTCACAGCTGAATAATAATATACATGCCGACATACTTAATTCAATCTGTGTTCTTGATCTTGATTGTATTCTATTGATTGTGACTTGAATATGGGTTCATATCAATGGTATAAATACAATGACTTCTTATAATTAAAAAAAGGTTAGTTTATTGTAATATCTTAGAGAGAGAAACATTATGTAGAGAGAGAAACATATTAATGACATGATGATTTCATATCTAATCATTGTTTTTGATTGTTAAATACATTGTTACTTGATCATTATGGGATTATCAAATAGTGTGTCCAAAAGGAAAAATGGAACACTGTTGGACATTGTTTGTTCTATGATGAGTCGTAACACTTTCCCTAAAAGTTTTTGAGCCTATGCCCTAGAAATTGTTGCATGCATACTAAATAATGCACCAACCAAGACAACTGAAAAGACCCTATACGATTACTGGGAATATCCCAAAATTATCTTACATTAGTATATGGGGTTGCGACACTTATGTTAAGCAGGAAACTTATTGAAAGTTTGAGCTAAGGTTTGAAAAGTGCATCTTTACAGAATATCTAAAAGACACTATTGGATATTATTTCTATAAACCTGATGAGAACAAAGTTTTTGTTGTACGCTAAGGTGAACTCTTAGAAAATAATTTTCTAACAGCAACTACAACGCAAACTAGAGTAGATCTTGAAGAAATTCAAGAACCACAAGATGAGACAATGGTTGACACTGACGATCAACATAATGTTAAACTTGTTGAGAGAACTAATGAGATATAAATAATCTGTAGATTGGTTAGGACTTGTCAAGAGCCTGAGAGATATGGTTATCTTAAAGGCAATGAGGAAATAGTTCATTAATGAGCATGTGACTTATGAGAAGGTTGTATCATGTTTGTAATATGATGAACGACAAGATGCCATGAAGACTGAGATATAATCCATGTCGGATAACCAAGTTTGGAACTTGGTAGATGCACCTATCAGTTGCAAAGTCGTAGGATGTAAATGGGTATTTAAGAAGAAACCCAACATGGACGGGATTATGCATACTTATAAGGATAGCTTGGTAGAAAAAGGTTTCGCTCAAACTTAGGGAGGTGACTATGATGAAACATTTTTTCTAGTAGCCATGATAAAGTATCAAAATTCTTCTTGACATTGTTGTGCATCAAGATTACAAGATATGTCAAATGAATGTTAAAAATCGCATTCCTTAACAGTTCTTTGAAAAAGGATATGTACATGGTACAACTAGAAGGTTTTAAGCATCCAAAGTATCCTGATAAAGTATGCAAGTTGTAGAGTTTCTATTTACGGATTGAAGCAAACATCTCGTAATTGTAATATTTGTTTTTTTGACAATAAAATAAAGGAATTTGATTTTGTAAAGAATGAAGATGAACTCTGTGTATACAAGAAAGCCAGTGAGAGCATAGTCGTATGACTAACCCTATATGTCGATGACATATTGATTATCAAAAACGCCATCCTAATGCTCGAAGGTGTAAAATCTTGGCTAGGAAAATGTTTCGCAATGAAGGATTTAGGAGAGGCAATGTATATCCTTGGTATAAAGATCTATCGAGATAGATCTAAGTGCATAAATGGATTAAGCCAAATACATACATTGACGGGGTCTTGAGACACTTCAAGATGGAGGGTTCCAAAAGAGGAAACTTGCCAATGGTACATGGTATACAAATGCGAAAGACCTAGTATCCTAGTACAAAGGAAGAAATGGATTGTATGAAAGGTGTTCCCTATGTTTTGGCCAAAGGTTCGATTATGTACTTCATGTTATGTACTAGATCAAATGTCTTGTATGCCTTAAGCATGACAAGCAGAGGAACTAAGAAATAAATATGGGAACCGGATCTAGCCAATTGAAAGGATCTTCTGATCAATCCAGAGATCATTTTGCCGCATGGAGGTAGAAGGCCCACGGGTCGTGAACTTCTTTTCCCGGAGAAGAAGCAATGACGGTATCTGGGGAAGGATCGAATCGGTATTGCTATCCGAGCTCTCTTATTGTACCAGTCAAACCCCGATGATGCTCACTCGATGGTAGTTAAAAATATCTGAGACAAACTGAGGATAGGTTCTTACTATACGGTGGTATAGAAGGATATCTATGCATCCAAAGTTACACGAATGCTAGTTTCCAAACCAAGCATGATGACTTTAAATCGCAATCGGGATATGTATTTGTGTTAAGTAGTAGTGCTGTGAGCTAGGAGGGCTACAATCAAAATATGATAGCAGATTTGATTATATAAACAAAGTATATTTTATATTAAACTGTTGTACGAGAAATTCATCATAGACCCAAGAGTGATTCCTAGCATATGTGACCTTGTCAAAAAATGAGGGTGTCATAGCACATACGAAAGAACCAAGGTCACATCAGCGCTCCAAGCATATTTTGAGAAGATATCACCTGATTCAAGAGATCATTGATCAAGGTGACATGAAGAGACACAAAGTTTGATCAAAAGACAATACAATAGATCCTCTCACCAAGCTTATGAATCAAAACAACTATGATGCTCATACTAGTTATATATGCTTGAGGTTTAGTAATACTTTGATTTGATTAGCAACTAGTAAACTTTAAACTTATTTGAAACATTAAGATGGTTATGTTTTATATGTTATGACATACTGGGTATCAATATTTTACATTAACGAAATTGTGTTCCATCTGAGGACATTTGTTATCCTTAAATAAGTGTGATGATCATATTATTTAAAGTTGTCCTTGGTCAATTATTATTAGGGGTATTAATAAAATAGGATCATTATGAAGTCTAGTTATGATTCAAGTTGGAAGTGCACTAGGTACAACCAAAGTCAGATACGCTTCTCGATGCACAAACGTTGGACAAAACCCCTATAAGGATCACTACATAGAATGGTATCATATAGTGAGTCCTGTGAGGGGGAACCCTTATATTTGAGATGTTCATAGTGATCTATGCACAAGGAGTATTATGCTTTAATGTACTTAACTACGTTGAGTATAATATGAATTGTGCATGAGTCGTGTACATGCAATATGTGATTTCCTCTTTCAAAATGAGAGATACTTTTGGATCCCTCAATGACATATAAAATAAGAATATATATGATGGAAGAGTTAGGTTTCGAGAATGGAGAATTAAGATAAAAAACATAAGAAAAGATCTTCATCATTGGATTTACATTAGGATGAGATGCACCAGATTAATCCTTATATTAAAAACAATTCATAGATGATTTTGAAATTAAAGGTGATTAAAGATCTAAATCATTTCTTACGTTTTAAGATCGAAATGTGAAGAGTATTTTTATTTTTATTTATTTAAAGAAAAAAAAGAGAAAGATCCGGTCGTGGCGATCCTACGGTCAACAAATTTAACACGGTAGATCATCCTCCACGTGTCAGCGTCTCATATGACTTCCTATCTGACCTTCCCTTTATAAACCGCTCCAGCCAATTGCAATTTCTCCGATCCCCACGTACTAAATACCTGTCCAAATACATTAATCGGTCGAAAATCGAAAACCATCATCAATGGCGGAAAAGTCTTTCAAGTATGTGATCGTCGGCGGCGGCGTCTCAGCTGTGAGTTTTTGTCGATCGAATTTATTATTTATAATTGGTACTAACTATATCTGCTCAATTTGATGTTTCTTTTATCGATAATTCTAGCAATCCTATTTTCTGTAACTGGACTAGTTAGCTAAGGGCTACGAACTAACAGATTTTGCTTTGAATGTATCAAGGGAGTAAGTTTTCAGATTGTGTATGATCATCATCTAGTAATAGAGATCTGCAAATTGTTTGATCATTTTACACAGTTCTGAGAGGAGTACTTAATTGGGGATGTATTTTTGCGGTTTTCTGATGCTTTTTCTTTTGGGTTTGTGGAGGGTAGTGATTAGTGAAGGAGTAGTGTGAAATATATGTATGTGATTTGTGTAAATCTTTTAACTCCTAAGAGAACAAGGGCTAAGTCAAACACGTAAACCTATGTTTTCCAAACACCAATTGATATGAATTTTGTCCCATAACTAAAACAAGAACTTTTTTTACTGTTCTTGTTGTAAAAATCATCGTATTAGCATTTTTGTCCTTGAAAAGTTGGAAATCTGCATTGTTTCAGAAGTTATAAAGTAACCTGTTTGAGATCCAGGTTTAAGGTGTAGTTCTTTATTAGGAATGGTGATTGTTTGAATTACCACCTTAGTTTATAAGAACATTAACATAGTTCTTTTACTGTTTCATATACCGTAATGCTTACTTTGTTGTACATGTAGGGTTATGCTGCCAGGGAGTTTGCAAAGCAAGGAGTCCAACCAGGCGAGCTAGCAATCATATCTAAGGAGGCGGTATGGTCATCAATTTTTCCCTCTGTTACTCATAATTTTTGAGACCCGTGGAATACTTTTAAATATGAATATTTACACTGAAAAAATGCATGCTTAATGGTTGGATATTGAATAGGACAGATTGGATTCTTGCTTAACCATATTCTTTGTGAGACCTTTCATTTCTTATGTTTCCCTTTCCCCAAACTTTTTGGTTACGGATGTCACCGTATTTTGGGCTAAAGAGGTGAAAGAAAAGTGTTGCTTTGGCCTTAAATAACTAAAAGGGCTCATCACTTTTCTAGAGTTCGCAGAAGAGGTATTTGTAATCATTATTAGGATTTAGGATTGATAATCAGACAAATAAATACAGTAGCAGTGAAAGAAAAATGAATTGATATACATATTTGAACAATTTGACTATATCCACGTTTTTCTTATATGCTTTGTGAATTCTATTTTAGTACCAAGATGAAGATAGGCAACATTTTTGTAACTCATAGTGAAGACAGCATGAAGTATTCTTGTTAGAGTCGACATATCCACCAAAATAGTGTCATTCAATCCTTCGAGTCCCAGCCATTACCAAAACAAATTAATGTATTTGATTTTAATTCAATTACCTAAACAACAAATTCACAACTTCCGAGTAGATCTGCTTAACATATGCTTGCTCCCAACTCCGTCTACGTTACTAGGTTGGGCCTTTTATGTTGAAATTGGTTTCCTACACATAATGATATATGATCAGTCTTGAAATTGATTTTTTTTTAGTTGAAAGCAAAATGTTTCATATAGAATGAGCACTTACAGACTGAAAAATTTTCTATCAAATACCCCCGTGATAAGCATGAGAGTTGTCGATCAAAAGACCAATTTATTAAGCCCCTGCATTCGAGGAAGCTCCAAAGTTATAGACCAAATGGCTCTTAAAACCTTTGAATGTGTTGGACTTTGCTCGGTCCTACCAATTCCTCCTCCAAAACAAGCATACTGTAATTGGCCTAATTTGATTCTTTGAACTCTTTAACTCCAATCATTCTTTATAGATTCAAGAAAGTCTCTAGGCTGAGCAGTTTGGCCTGGATATTGTAACTTGATTTTGTGTTCCACAGTGCACTAACTCGATTTCTTCTTTCTTAACCAGCTCCTGCAAAAATGGAATTTGTTATTTTTCATTGAATGTTCCATTACAGTACACTGGAAAAGAAAAACTACAATTCCTATCTATTCTTCTTCTTTCATGGATCCATTGGCGCCAGTAGTTGCTTTAGATATGTGGTTCTTCTCGGCACTAGGTCTGGCACAGAGGATTCATTTGATTTCTTCAAGAAACCTAGAGCCTACCACTAATTTGTTGTTTATGATGGGCATTAGGTCACTTGTGGGAGCAAGCATTATGTCATTATACCTCATATACCTCGTTCCAAAGTTTGTGGTGTTGTAGTATGGTCCACAGTCTAGACCTGTCACTACTTCACCTGCCTTACCTTCTTCACCAATAGGTAGATTAGTGTTCAACTGTTCATCGGTCAACAGAATAGAGAACTACTGTTGGTAGAATAGTGGATAATCCAACAGTACTAGTTAGTTGGTCATCCACTGATTCAGTACATTTTGTAGGCTTTGGATTCCTCGCTAACACCAATGATCACGCATGTAGTACTTCTATCATCAAATTTCACTCTTTTCTAACTTCGAACATGAACATGTCCCACATAAGCGACTCTGAAGTATTCCATGTTAGGGTTTCCAACATTCTTTAGTGCTTATTTCTTTCACAGTAAGGTGGTGCACCTGTTCAAGATGTGTGTAGTCCATCGGGCCACTTCTTCCAAATCTTGGGCATACCCTTTTTTAGGAGACAATGAACCGTGTTCATACAAGTTCTATTTTTTTCCCTTCGTCTACCCCATTTTGTTTGGGGGTGTAGGCTGCAGTGAGCTTCTTTCTTATTCAATGAGAGGTACAGAAGTTAGCAAAAGTCTTAGAAGTGAAATCACCACTTTGGTGGGGCCTCAAACACTATATCTTCGTCTTTGTCTTATTTTCTTCCATCACCATAAAGTTTTTGAAGCACTTGAGTGTCTCATCCTTTTCAGCTAGAAAATACGTCCAAGTTTTTCTACTAAAGTCATCAATGAAACTCAGCAAACAGCTCATGTCACTTGCTGAATTTGGTGAAATCGGTCGGCATAGGTCAACGTGTACAAACTAAAGTTTGTTTGTTGCTCTCTACCTTGCTTTGTTAGTAACAGACTCACAATGTCACTTTTTTTAGCACATACTTCACATACATTCTCGGTCTTCATAATCTAAGGGAGTCCTACCACCATCTATTTTGATAACATTAGCTGCAAATGCTAATTTAGGTTGCCGAATCTCTTGTGCCAAATATCGGAGGTGTTCTCAGTTGAGACATATAAACTCGCTGATGTTGGGGTTCCTGCTACTAATAGAAACATTCTGTTTGATGTCATGTGCATATGCTTAATCAACACCAATTCGTTGTGATATATTTTGCAGCCTCCATTTTTTTTATCAAAATGGCTAATGGTTAGATCAGGTAACATAATATATGCTACCTACTATGTGAGTTCTCCCTTGCCCATGTACCCACATCTGTGCGCTGTTTCCCAATCTCATAGAACGTGTGAATTGCTCATCGAGGCGGGCAGGTGCGGACCTATTAGGAGCTGAGCAGGCTCTTATGCACCCGCGCACTCGTTTGATAGGTGTATCCGCTTGATTTTGAGAGCCGCCCTTAAATACTTTGAAACCAAATCTATGACAGGAATTAAACAGGGATGGGATGGTTGGATTATCACTTTATAATACATGAGGTCATGGGTTTGAATCTTTTCGGTAAAAGTTCACTTTTTTAACTTTTAATTTTTGGCTCTAGGCTGGCCCAAAGAATTTACTGAGGCCCTATATAAAATATTATAAGCAAAAATTATAATATTATAAGCAGAAATTAGGACTGAACTTACAACCTCAAGTACAATTATAAGCATTAACACTATACGAAGACAACACTTTTGTTAATTTTTCTCCTATTTTGATTTTATTATTTTTTTCATGATTTATTTTTCTTCCCAATGTCAATTCATCTTAAAAATTGTCGCTTTTCATCTCATTTTCAAGGCAACATATATTTATTTTAAGAATCAAAGTCGATTCCATTGACAAAATGTATCTTATTCCTCAAATTGATACAATTGACTTTTCCCTGGTCAAACTGCGTTGATTTTTCCCCATGTCAAACCATGATTGTTACGCCTTTTTATTCACTATTGCTCAAAGAAATTCTTAGGTCCGTCACTGGAGGCTGGTAAACTCTCTTTTTCTTACTTGTCCTGAGGTTGGGACAACCTGAGTCTAGGATACAGACCTCATGTCTCCGTGCTTCTTCCTTCTCTACTCATGCCATAAATAGAAGTTCCTCATTCTCATTCTCTGCATAGTTGGCATTCTTCTCCAAACTAGAGCACGCAGCTTGATGATGCCCAAACTAGAGCACTCTGCATAGTTTCCAGTCATTTCCAATGGTTTATTTTGAGGATTGCAAACCATCCCAAGGCCTAAGTTTTCTAATGGCAAGACTCCTTGCATGAAGAACAGTGCTTTCAATATTCAGGACTCTGATGGACCATCAATGCTGGAAGGCAAGCATTATGAATCTTGTCGTTGGTAGTTGAACTCACAGAACCATTATCATCCTGATCTCACAGATTTTTCTTCGGCCTCCTACAATCCCTCTTGAATTGCCTTTTGTGATCAGAATTTCGAAACATAATCACAAATCTGCTTTTCAAGTTTTCAATTCCCTGTCTTTTGAGTTTGTTGGCTAGTGGTAATTTGACCATGGCACGCCCCAAGGATTCTCTTAATTTACATTTAGAATTATGTCCTAGGTGTCATCAAAATTTAATTTCATGACCATGAGAACCTCTAATAGCAGAAACTGTTGCCCCCATGAAGTGGTAGCTGATATGGATAACGCAGAATGGTTTATGTCATCTCCACAGAGCTTAATTGGTTAGTGATCGAATTGTATCCATTAATGTTATCCATATAACCATCACTAGCCATCTCAAAATTAAACAAACGAAAGCATGAGAAATATCTTGTTAATGTCATGGTTTCTTTTACATTCCACCAAGGCTTTTGGTAAACTTCTTGTGGGGTTTCTCATTCATGATGTTCAATGCAACTTTACTATTCAAACCAAACCAAACAAACCTAGTACACCCCACATAGATGTATAGAGGTAGGGACCGAGGATAGGATGTAGGCAGACATTGCCTCTACCCTAGGGTAGAGAGGTTGATTTTGTGAAGACCCTCGGCTGCAACTTTACTAATCAATGCCAAGCAAATCACAGCCAACCTGTGTAGATGCTCCCACTAGGCTTTTGCCCTTGGAACATGGCTTTCTCTTGCTCGGAGAAAGAGGAAAGATTTTTCTATTAATGATAATCCTCCATCTCTATTTCCAATATCCAAAATCCTTCCCATTGAACTAGACAATTCCTATCTTCACATCCCTCATTGTTGTAACCTAACAAGGCATTAATGCCAATTGTTAACCGGTAATCAAACACCAAATTATAATTGCATGACTCCCTGAGAAACACAATATCTACATGGCTCAGCAATTCACCTATATCCAGGGGAATTGCTAGGATTTTATTATGGGAATCGTACATAAAATTAAAACCTTTTACTTTCAAAAGTAAAACTAAAAGCATTTTCATAAGCCAAATTAGTACAAAAATCAAAACAGTTGAGACAGAATTGTTTTATCCACGAAATTATAGGCCAGTTTTCTGTTCAAATTAGGGCCTGCATCAAACACAAAGCTTTTATTTGCATTTCCGGTGAGGCTGTTTCTTTTGGCCTTCATGTCACAGAGGAGTGATCTTACTGGTTGATCCAAGGTTTACCTGTCCATAAATGAATAACAGAACTTATTTGGCCAAATGAACGATCGTCACTTTTATTTCGCACAGATGTTGAATGGAATTGATTTCAATAGATTGCTTTTGAAGCAACAAATTTCTCTTCTACTGCTGCTTGACAGAATAACCCTGTACTATGGCTTTCATCTCTTAATCTGTTAGCTCTTATAAATTTACTAATTTGAACATTCATCTTTTATTTATTATGTAGAACTATTTACATGATTTTGCTAAACATAGTTTTATGGATCTTCTAGGTGGCTCCATATGAACGCCCTGCACTAAGCAAGGCATATTTGTTTCCTGAAGGTAAGCCAACCTAATTTTCGCACTGTGTAGTATTTGGTTCATGAAGGTGGCTCCATAAGTTGTTTCTTTCTTTTTTCCAAACTTCCAGCATTAATTTCAAACTGAAGAAACTTTTCACACTTCAACTTAGATTCTGATAAAGTTTATATTATCATTGTGATTCAATTCTTTTAGATGGATTCCATGTCTAAACTAGATATTCTAACATTCTCCCTTATTTTTCTTGATCTACTATTATTCTTCAGGAGCTGCCAGACTTCCAGGGTTTCATGTATGTGTTGGAAGTGGAGGAGAGAGATTACTACCAGAGTGGTACACAGAGAAAGGTATGGTGTTTTCATGTAATTGCATATCTTCTTTCTCTTCCTTCCCTTTTGCTAACACTTTGCACAAGAAACACTGCTTTCTTTTTTGGGTAGAGGTCAGGTCTACGTACATCCCACTCCCATCCCCACCGCACTCAGAACGGATATATTGGGATCGTTCTGTTTTGGCGAATTACATACCTTATAGATCGATCCCACTTTATTCCAAGTTTGTTTAATCTTTCAACCATACAAGGAATCCTAAAACTATAACCAAAACTATCTGATGCTTCTTCAGGGATAAGTTTGATCCTTAACACGGAGATAGTCAAAGCTGATCTTGCTTCAAAAACCCTTACTAGTGCAGCTGGCGAAACCTTCAAATATAAAATTTTGATCATTGCCACCGGCTCCACCGTAAGATTTCAGTTTCTAACTTAAAGCAAAATGCATGAAATTTGTGTTAGTTCCTATTTAGTATAACAAATAGTTGTTTTCTAGATCAATATAAAGAAATTTCAAAATTTTCTGTGTTGTACTAGCATGCTTATCATGGAATATTTGATGACGTGGATGTCAAGTTTATCGTTCTCCTCTTTGCAAGTTGTAACCCTTTTGTAAACGGGTACCCATGTCATCAAATATTACAAAATCAACATGTTACAGGTCGAAATGGATAAAATACAGGAAAATCTGAAAACTTTGTTACATCGACTGCGATTTCTTTTTATCAAATTATAGGAACTAAACCAAACTTGGTTACATTTTAGCCTCTGAATTACCATCAAATGTAATCCTCACCTCTTCATGTTTGTTCGCATCTATAACTTCAATTTCAGGTTCTCAAACTGACAGACTTCGGTGTACAAGGGGCTGATTCCAAAAACATTTTCTATTTAAGAGAGATTGATAATGCTGATAAACTTGTGGAAATCATCAAAGCAAAGAAAACTGGAACTGCAATCGTTGTTGGGGGAGGATACATTGGGCTTGAGCTTAGCGCAGTACTAAAAATTAACAACTTCGATGTGAAAATGGTTTACCCAGAACCATGGTGCAGTAAGTGGAGACATCTTTTTTACTTCTATGCCAAATATTTTCTTCTATTGAACAGATTTTTTTATTTTTGCTGATATTTGTCGTACATTTAACAGTGCCTCGTCTATTCACTGCTGATATTGCTGCTTTCTATGAGGCTTATTATGCGAAAAAGGGAATCGATATCATCAAGGGCACAGTTGCTGTTGGATTTACCAGTAACGACAACGGAGAGGTTTGTACTCATGCAACTCAAGTCTCTTTGGCTTTGTTTGGTTCACAGAATTCGATATAATCTATAGGATTAAAAGACAATAATACCCATCAACTAATCAAAAATCTACTTTCTTTATTCCGTTAAAATCCCATGTATTCCGACTTTTGTTTGCTTTTCAGGTAAAAGAAGTAAAACTAAAGGATGGAAGGGTGCTGGAAGCAGATATTGTGGTAGTTGGTGTTGGAGCAAGGCCCCTTACAAATCTATTCAAAGGACAGGTTGAAGAGGAGAAAGGTGGAATTAAGGTTTGTGTTTAATCTTGTAAATAATGCCTTCCCATAAAAATTTATACTACACTTTCTGGGTCACTGATATTAGGACTTCTTAGAACCAGGAACATTTATTGGTTATATAGTTTGGATTGGGCAAATTGCATGAAAAATGCAATGTACTTTGATCTGATTCCTATTTTGTGTAACGAATTTTCAAGACCTTGGATGTGATATCTCAAACGTTTAGGTACCTTGGTTACATTTGAGAATACATGAAAATCTAACATACTTTGGTCCGATTCCTATTTTGTTAGACGTATTTTGGTCCAAATTTTTGGAGATATTTCATCTGAGATACCAAAAATGAAGGTTCTTAAAAATAAACCAAACCAAACTGATCTAGTAAATCCCGCTCGAGAGCATGGTCTTGAGGGTGAGATGTAGACACACCTTATCTCTATCCCAAAAGCTGTTTCTGTGATGACCCATGGCTTATGCAAAAATGTGAGCTAACACATTTTGAATGTACGTTGCATAAAATGAAATCCAAAAAAAAATATGTTACATTTTCATACAATTTGCTCTTCTGAAGTCATGTCCATCGTCAGTTAAAATTGCTTGTTTTACGAATCGTAACCACATATTTGGAGAAAATTTGCAGGAGCTGTAAATCAAATAACTTAAACATGAAGCCAAGACTCGGTTGATCTGTCTGGTCATTTTTTTGTATTGAATTTTTTTTTACCATTTCCAGAAGTCACATATTTCACTTGGCCTCTTTTTTCTTTTCAATTACAGACTGATGAATTTTTCAAAACTAGTCTCCCGGATGTATATGCTGTTGGTGATGTCGCTACTTTCCCTATGAAAATGTACGGTGATATCAGAAGAGTTGAACATGTTGACCATTCCCGAAAATCTGCAGAACAAGCTGTCAAGGTAATGAATCAAAACAACTTGAACTTCGCCTTTCTGTATGCAATTTGTAGTTTGAGATTCGCTAGGTTCGTTATTTACATGCTACATGCTACACATATGTATGCAACTAGGCAGAATGCATCAAAATGCAACGAAGTTAGTTCCCATCTAGTGTAACAAATTGTTCTTTTTCTTCATCAATGTAACTAAGTTTCAGAATTTATTATTTTGTGTCTATTTCTACCGATAACCTAATGATCTTGTAACATTTGATGATGTGGATATCAAATTTATCATATAACCCTTTCGTAAAGGGGTATCCCCTTCGTCAAATATTACATGATCAGTAGGATTGTCAAATATTACAAGATCAGTAGGTTACAGGTAGAAAGATGCACAAAACTGGAAATTTTGAAACTAAATAAGAACTACCAAACTTTGTTTCAGTTTGTAAAAGACACAATTAAACTGAAAAGTTAACGTTCCTACTTTTGCAGGCCATTTTCGCTAGTGAGCAAGGGAAGAAAATCGATGCTTATGATTACCTTCCCTACTTCTATTCTCGTTCGTTTGATCTATCATGGCAGTTTTACGGTGATAATGTCGGTGATGCTGTTATCTTCGGAGACCATGATCCAGCATCAGCCAAGCCAAAGTTTGGCTCATACTGGATCAAGGATGGCAAGGTTGTGGGTGCATTTCTTGAAGGTGGTGCACCTGAAGAGAACCAAGCCATAGCCAAAGTTGCCAAACTCCAACCCTCAGCCTCGAGCTTGGATGTGCTTGCCAAAGAAGGTCTTGAATTTGCCAGCAAGATCTAACAACCTCGATACAAATTTGTACGCATTTGATGCCATAAAAATTTGAGTTTCGAAAACTTGGGTTTCGATTCATTGGCTTCCGTTACACAAAGCTAAACCAGATCTTCGAATACAATGTGTTTTGGCATTTATGGATTGCTTTAGAGTGTGTTCATGTGACATTTGCATCTTAATTTGGTTGTAATCTATGTCTAAAAAACATATAGATAATTCATTTCTTATGTTTGAATCTTGAAGGGGTTGTTTCCTAACCACTTACTATGTCTTAATGGACAAGAGGCGTTTACCTGGTTAGAGATAATGGGTTGGTTGTACTGTGTCACTTAGCTCACCGAGAATTTTACGTGGTAAGTAATTGTGATGACTCTTACCGTGTTATTGTTTAGCAGGTAAAATGGTTTATACTATACTACTATTTTCATGGCTGAGGATCTTATCCAGTAAAGTAACTGAGTGTGATGAATTTTACGGGGTTACCATCTAGCCTTTACCCAGTTGTGTTGGTAAATGACTATTAAAACTATATTTGGCAAATTAGGTGATAAAGTAGCTCTTGGTTGATAAATTAGCCTTTGACTAATAGGTTGGCTATTAGATTATACATTAATGATGTTTCATAACAAGTAGCTTATAAGTCGGATTACAATGTACACCAAGGGACTGTTTGTTTGCCTCTTAATAGCTCTATTAAAAGGGAATCTCTAAATCATTAAAAGCTAAAGGGTTGTTTGACAGTTGCTGAATGGTTTGATGTAAAATAATTAAGTGGTCAGAATGATTATGACTTTCATGATATAGTGTAAAATGAAATATAATTGTTTGGTAATTGTTTACAATGAAATTAAGGTACTGAATGATTATGGGAGGCACTTGATACACAATTGTTCAGAGGGTTTTAGAATCATTAAGAGACAGATTGTTTTTATCAAATAAGATTCACCTCTTAACGATTCAGATGCTGCATTTTAATGAAAATATTAAAAGATAAATAAACAACCCCTAAATCTTGTTTGGTAAATTGTTTTTTGTTTTCGAATTATGACTGAATTTGTGATGCCCCTAGTGTAACACCCCCGTCCCGCGTGGTAAAAGACGGGAGATGCCACAATTGAAATAAAACAAACAACATGCTATATAAAACAGAGCAGCTAATAAAATTTATCAAAAGATAATTACATAACCATAAACGGAGATAAAGTCTCTCAAAATACGGTTTCAAAATACCAGTATGCCTACATTAGTCATCAAAAGTTTAACAAAAGTATGACTTAATGGGTTATCTTCAATATTGTCATCTCCRTAGCTCTCATCCCAAAATCCCTGCTAAGTCATGTACCTGCCGAGGACAAGAAAATCTTGGCTGAGCTTAATGCTCAATGAACGTATTATAATATAACTAAACAATGAATATGAGATAACAAGTTCAAAAACAATTTATAATGCCAAGTGATAATCCAAAAGAAAGTCAAAATGCCCCAAAAGCATGTCAAGGGTCCAAAGACCAAACCGCATCACGAGGACGCATTGTTCCCAAAGGATGATCAGTCCATTCAGGCACAAGTGAGGAAAGGGGTGTGAGCACAACACAACAATCCTCTCCGTGAATTTAACCACGGCCACAATTCAATATCTGATAACGGTTCCTAGGATCGATCCATACGCCCTCTATTCGACCGGTACATAATCAAGTCCACTTTTAAGGACTATAAAAATAAGGACGCCATGATCGTTTTAGTCACCATGGAAACATCTCAATACCGGTGCTCCAATTATTGAGTCTATAGTAAAATGTTTCACAATAAAGCAAACAAAACAAGTCAAGTGATCAAAATGATCCATATTTCGAAAAAAATATAAGTCGTAGTTCAAAGGGAAACAAAGTTCAATAACATTTGATAAGCATAAAGGAAATTCAGAACAAATTATTCGGAATTTATCACATATTATCCAGATTAAGAAGCCTTACGCAAATAGCTATCCCCGTGTCAAGTGAGATATGGAATCCGTACCTTAACCGAATTTGACAATTAACGCACGATCAAACGGAAATTCACGATCAAGTTTGACTTGCCCGCGTGCCTAACGAATGCATAACTGGTTACTATTTACAAAGCATAAAAACCATAATATAACTATTCTAATAAAATTACTTAGGTCTTAATGTACTTAAACAACGTAGACTTCAAGAAGGACAGCCGGATATGAATTGAAAACTCAAACGTAAAACTTAGCATTATTCTCTTTCGATCCAACCATTTCCGACCCTCTTATTTCTAAGCATTTTTATCTTATTTAGAGACCAATCCAGATTATATTTTCTAAAACGAAAGTTGTAGATTGGTGTCAAACGAGTCTATTGCTTTTGAAATCGTCTCATTTGGATCATCCATCTATTTTATATGAATTTTACAAAACTGCAAATTAATCCCGGATACAGTGTAAACAGCCCCGAAAACACACTGTTTCGAGCCACTTAGGGTGCGTTTGGTGCGCAGACAGGACATGACGGGACATGACAGGACAGGACGGGACAGGACGGGACAGGACAACTGTTCAGCGTTTGGTAAGACAGGACAGGACAGGACAGAACAGGTTAAAATGACCAATTTACCCTACAAATAAATGGCAGTCAAATAAGCTGCTGTGTTCACTACCAAATTCGATCAAGGAAAGGAATCAAGAAAATCTACTACAAATAGAGCTGCTGTGTTCATTACCACAAACAATGAAACAATTGAATGAAGAAAATCTTGGGCTTGGTTCACTACTCACAAACAGAGAAGGGATGTTCACTACTCAGAAAATGAAGAAAATCGATAATGCGTACCTGAGTATGGAGAGAAGAGAAGCAACAGTCGGGTAGGAAGAGAGCGCCGTCGATGGGGAGGGATATCGCCGTCGATGGGGAGGAGAAGCGTGGCCGTCGCCGTCGATGGGGAGGAAGCGAGCGCCGTCGATGGGGAGGAAGCGAGCGCCGTCGATGGGGAGAGATGTCGCCGTCGATGGGGGATGTCGCCGTTGATGGGGAGGAGAAGCGTGGCCGTCGCTGTCGATGGGGAGGAAGCGAACACCGTCGATGGGGAGGGATGTCGCCGTCGATGGGGAGGAGAAGCGTGGCCGTCGCCGTCGCCGATTGATGAAGGGTGCGATGGAGTGGCGGCGTCTTTGGCAGGTGCAGGGGCGCCGAGAGGAGATGGTGCGATGTGGGGAAGAAAGGGGGAAGGGGTAGTGTGGTAAAATTTTTTGTGTTCCACTTAGTTCCAGGGGTAAAAAGAGAACAAGCGTGTCCCATGCTTGTACTAGTTAGTTCTACTTTGTTCCATATTAAGTCACCAAACGTAGGACAAATGTGTTCTGTTCTGTTCTGTCCCACCTTGTCCAGCGCACCAAACACACCCTTAGATTCATAACTGGGATTTTGACCCTTAATGAAAGTTGTAGTATGCAGTATGATCTTCCTGAATGCAAAATACGAGCTTAATCCGACTTACGGTTTGTGAGTTATACACTGTCAAAGTACGGGAGTTACATTGTCGATAAAATTCGATTCCGTAATTCCCGACTAACTTTTATGATCCAACTTCCGTGATTTGCTACATTTACATGCTATAAACATACTTCAACATACTAAACAGTAAAACAAGTCTAATGGTCGTTAACCTAAGCTTAATCATGCATTTTTACTCTTTTCGGCATTTAACCGAACAATTGATGTACGGTTAAACTTATACCCACAATCTAACCATATTGAAACTATAATATACCTTTTTCATTTCTACATCAATTTAACCAGTCCTAGCATTCTAAGCATCAAATATATCATAATTTT